AAAGAGACAAGTTTCAACAAGATGTCAGCTGGAGTATATCTTTGAGATTAATCTTGTAAGGACCAAAGATTTGGTTCAAAAGTTTAGCCTACTAAAAAAAAAAAGAAAAAAGGAAAGACATCATGCTATCTCATAGTCTGGAAAAAATGGTCTGTCCAGTGCCTGTTGTCTGTAGGTTCATTTTATATCATGTATTTGGAAGAATTTTCTGTATTAAGCAATGGGCTTGTTTTTTCTGTCGTCTCAACAGGCTGTTACAGCTGTGCCAGCGAACCATGGCACTACCTGTTGGACGAGGAATGTTCACTTTGTTCTCGTATCATCCTGTTCCAACAGAGCAGTTGCCCATCCCAAAGCTGAATCTAACTGGTACGTTGGTCAGGGTTTCTTTCGGTTGTTAGCCAGTTTCTTTCTGAACCTCTCGTAACTTTTATAGCATCTTCTGTGTCTCCCTGCAAAGAGTTCCATGGCTTAAGTGTGCTTTTTGTGAAGAAATAGCTCTTTTTGTTTTGAATCTGTCACCTACTAGCTGCTTGTTATTAGGCTGCTGTTACTATCTAACACTGAGACCTTATATCAGGTGCGTTCTGAGAAGCAGAGAGAAGTGAAACAAATTGCCTAAGGGCACGCAGCTGATCAGTGTTGGTGTCGTACAGGTCACAGATAGTCCACATCGCTGGTTTACCTACTATGCTGTGCTTCTGTCTTCTGATGTGCCTGAAGATACCCAAGGCTGTCTTCAGATCGGAAATGTTACCTAGCGTGCTGTCAGAGTTTGTTCACTTGGCACCCTGCTGAGTTGAGAGCTGTTTCTGAAGTGGTTTGGATTCACCTAATTGCTTTTAATGATTTTGTCATGGGCAGGCCGTGCTCCTCCTAGGAACACCACTGTTGATCTGAACAGCGGGAACATCGATGTGCCTCCTAACATGGCTTGCTGGGCCAGTTTTCACAACGGGGTAGCTGCTGGCCTGAAGATAGCGCCTGCTTCACAGATAGACTCTGCTTGGATTGTCTATAACAAGCCCAAAATTGCTGAATTAGCAAATGAATATGCAGGCTTCCTCATGGCTCTGGGTCTCAACGGGCATCTCACGAAACTCGCCACGCTCAACATACATGACTACCTAACAAAGGTGAGGCCTTCTTTCACAGGCAACAGAGAAAAATATTTGTAGGACTTGAATTCTTTAAACAAAACAAGAAAGAAAAGTCAGCAGATTTCTTTGAAACACTGAATTGGAAGTTTCCTAGCGTGGGAGAGTATCAGAGTTGCTTCGTTAACATTAGTAGTGCAGGACTTTATTTCTGTTTAAAAGATTTTTCAGCAGTTTTATCACTAAATCTTTCCATGTTGTGCACAGCTCATTGGGATAGGTGAATGCTCTGAATTACTTCTGCTCAATTTCTGCCATAAAGTTCTTGTTAATCTTTGCATTACAGAGTTAGAGCTAGGGACTCAAGATTTTATGGACTTTGCATTAAAAGGCTGAAAATCATATGCGCTCTTGAAATCTCACCTTAAATTGTAAGAAGTTGTGAAGACATAATTATTTTGAAACTTAAACACCAGGAAACGATACATGTGGTGTTGGGGGAGGGATTAATAAAGAGCTACCAAGGAGATAGAGAAGATCCTTTTAAAGCAAAAACTTCAGGTTTTGTTTTTAGAACAACCCAAATGTGTTGTGGGGTGTTTTTTGGAAACTAAACATCTACATTGTAACCATGCTTAGTATTTCATTGTCGAATTTCTGTTTGGATTGAAGTCTGCCTCTGCAGTAAGATCATACATTTGGGAAATAACCTTTACACCCCTAACAGCTAGTGTTCATTTTCCTGAAGAGACGGATCGAAGAAGTTTAGCTGCTGTCTATATTTGAGAACATAGAATATATTGTATTAGAAGTGTCTTTCCTTTTCTGAACACGGCCACTTTCTTTGACCGCTGACACGTGTTTCCTTTCTCAGGGCCATGAGATGACAAGTATTGGACTGCTGCTCGGCGTTTCTGCTGCCAAGTTGGGCACAATGGATATGGCCATTACGCGCCTCCTGAGCATCCACATACCTGCCCTCCTGCCACCAACTTCAACAGAGCTGGATGTCCCCCACAACGTGCAGGTGGCTGCCGTGATAGGAATAGGCCTTGTCTATCAGGGCACCGCTCACAGGCACACAGCTGAGGTTCTGCTAGCTGAAATCGGTAGGTGCTGACACTGGAGAAAATGGGACATGGGCTGGGAGAGTCACGACGTGTGAATGATTTGCACAATGCATCAGGGAGCTGAGAATTTTAACGCTTCTTTTAACTGTACATCTCCCACCACAGTATTCACCTCTCATTTTCCAAACCTCATCTTCTGTTTTCAGAGGAACAGAAGTTACTGTGAACTGTGTGTTTGTATAGCGTAGAACAATCATTTAATTTAGTAGAAGAAACGTAGCAGCATCATTGCTGGACCTAGATACTTTTTCCATCTGGAAATTTTGTCTTATGAGAGCTGGTCGGGGACTTTTAGGGTTGCCAGCTGCTCGGTAAAAGGACTGCTGTAACTGTACGTTCCTCCTGACCCGGATGCCGTGTCTGCAGAGATCCTGACCCTCTACAGCTTTTGAGCAGATCTGTTGCATGCTGTATACCCAATGCATCTGATGCTTCCCAGACATTTCTTGTTTCTCAGACATTTGTTGTTTCTCATGTCTGTCCATGAGGTAGCTGCCACCGTAAAAACCAGAGATGAAGGCACTGGGTGGGGAAAAATGCTTTCCTCTTGCAAGGACAGTCTTTTTGGCTCGCTAGGTTGGTGGAAGTGCAGCCATCATGTCCTAAATTCTCCTGTTCGAATTTTGTTTAAGGCTTTCTAAACAGTAGTCTTTAAGAGCTGATTCCGAACAGTAAATTTCTGATCTGAATTGTGGCCTCGTTCTGTGCATAGTTCTGATTTTATTGAGTTCTTACTCATGTTTATATGTAACTTTAGTTAGAAGAGGCTGTATGGATTATTAAATAGAGAATGGGATAAATTTTAAGGGTGAAATTGTATCTGTTAGGTTTCTGGTAATTTTGGTATGTGCAATTTTTTTCTAGCAACAGCTTTTGAACTCTGCTGACAGCATTTGGATAGGTTCAGATGTCTTTAAGTATGCACAGTTGTAACATGGCATTTTCACTGTCTCTCTGAACTCCAACCGTATCGTTTAGCACTATATACTGCTTCTGGAGGGGTTTGGTGATGGATGGGTTAACTGACAATTGTTTGTAATTCCATTGAGAACTTTCTTGACTTTAAGAAGGGACCGATTTTTTTTTTTCCCTCATATCCCTAGAAACATAATGCTTAATTGAACAATGTTTACTAGCTGGAATTTTAAAAGATTAATTTCACTGTTTTGTTTTTCTCCAGGCCGTCCCCCTGGACCAGAAATGGAGTACTGCACAGACAGAGAGTCCTATTCCCTTGCATCTGGGCTAGCCTTAGGCATGGTTTGCCTAGGGGTAAGTGCCTCTCTTCGTTTCAGCTGCAATTAGTAGAGGAATCGTTATATATTGGTAATAAGAGCTGTTTCATCCTTGACTCCCAACTGCCTTTGGCCGAAAGCATTTTTTTTTTCCTCATACAGGAAGGCACTGCCATATTATTTCTTCTCCTCTTCATTCCTTAGCACGGCAGTAATTTGATAGGCATGTCAGACCTCAACGTTCCTGAGCAGCTTTACCAGTACATGGTTGGGGGTCACAGGCGGTTCCAAGCAGGAATGCACAGAGAGAAGCACAAGTCTCCCAGTTATCAAATCAAGGTACGTGTTGATTTTTTGCTCACTTAAGCTGAAAATAGCAGTAGTTAGAAGTCTGAGAGGTGTGTGTCCCGATGCACCGAGTGACTTTGCCTCTACGCATCATCGCTACAGGCTGTTGCCTTCCTAGTCAGCTGCTCTGACAGTACGCGTTGTGTTTTCACAGGAGGGAGACACCATAAATGTGGATGTTACTTGTCCGGGCGCCACACTTGCACTTGCTATGATCTACCTAAAGACTAATAACAGGTATTATTACCTTTGGAATTGCTCAGGCATTTTGCAGTAACTTGTGATAGCAGTTTAAACTGCTGTAATGTCAGCTCTGCTTTGGGTGGCTTATTCAATTTTGTGCATTGCTGAAATAAGATCTGGAAACCCCGTTCCTTTACTGTGCTCTGCAGATCTATTGCTGACTGGCTTCAAGCACCGGATACCATGTATTTGCTGGACTTTGTAAAACCAGAGTTCCTTTTATTGAGGGTAAGATTTTCTTTTGTTTCTTTTCTCCATCTATTTAATGATACTAAAAATGCATCTTATTTGAATTTTTTTTTTTTTAAATTTTTAATCCAGCCCACATGCCTATCGCGCATCATCCTTTAGATAGCTGGTAACCCTCTTGCTTGCCAGCCAAACTCATACCTTCAAACAGTTTCTACTTGTAGTAAGGCAGCTTGCTTGTCGTGCAGCACTAGAGACAAAATCTAGTGAGAAATATTTGAATGGTACATTTTATGTGGAATGTTAAATTAAATGTTTAGGTAAATTTTTATAGCTTCTCCCAAATTAATTTCACAGGTAAAAAACAAGTTAGGCCTCAGCATCTGTTTTAAGTGCATAATGAATTTTCATCTCAGTTTACCAGCTAAAGATACAGACCTTGCAAGGTCTGTATTCTGTGGTTCTTCTTTCTGCGAGCAGAATTTGCATCTCTTAAAATAAAAGCTATTTTGTCATTTCTGATATGAAGGCTGAGAAACTGGAGAAGCGGCTAGTGGGTAGCTGGATTGTCTGCATTTCTGGACGTATTTAGTACATTTAAAAAATACCACTGATGTTTGTGTCGGGTTTTGTTTCTTCCTTATGTTTTGGCTTTCTCACTTTTTTTTAGACCTTGGCACGATGCCTGATTTTGTGGGATGACATCTTGCCCAATTCCAAGTGGGTTAATAGCAACGTGCCTCAAGTAGGTATTTACACTTAATGTGCTTACTTCCCAATGTTACGTCTCACTGGATTGTTCTGCACGCGAGCATTTCCTTAGTCACATGAGCTGCACAAGAAAATGTATGTTGAATCGTGTTCACAGAGGTGATGGTTGCATTGGATTCCTGAACTGTTAGGAGCAGTGGGGACTCCCATCCCATCACGCTAGAGAGGAGAGGATTGAGGAGGGATGCAACTGTTCAAGACATAAAATGGTGCCGGAGAGAGAAAGGGATTAAACTTTCTTCCACGTTGACCGAGCAAGAAGCCAGGTGCAAAATTGCTGCAAGGAGGTTTCAGCTGAGCATTACAAATAACTTAGATACCTATCAGCAATACAGGATGCTGATGGACTACACAGCCTCTTGAGGTCTCATCACGTTCTGTTTTCTCTCATATTTGAGTACATACAGTAACATCGTGCTTCTGACACAGTCTTGCCATTGTTTTGGATATCTCTAAGGGACCAGATCCAGGAGCGTGGAAACGTGTCCCTTTTGGATCAGAAGTACGATGGAGCAGTAGCATGTGGAAGGAAAAACAGCTCTTATGCCTGTGAAACAGACCTGTTTTGTATCACTTACAAACCCTCAATGCCTGGAGTTTCAGTTAATTAATGTTTCCCCTGATTGATTTTTCTATCTCTTAACACTTTTTGTAGATCATAAGAGAGAACAGTATATCTCTTCATGCAACAGAGCTGCCTTCGTCTGAAGACCTGAGTTTAGAAACACTAGCGTAAGTAATGTGTAAAAAATTCTTCTGAAAAATGCAGCTGAACTCTCTATAGAGATATCAGCATGCAAAAAAAATCTCTCCCTTGATATTTACGGAATTTTCTTCTCCGTTTTCTGTAAAGGATAAGTCTGTCTTTTCAGTTTTCCCCTTTTTTAATTATAAAGGAGTTTGTGATGCATATTCAGGTGAGGAAAAGAGAAATATTTAGTCATTTCCTGTTTATGTTGCTTATTAGGCAAGCTCATGTCTACATCATTGCTGGAGCGTGTTTGTCACTGGGATTTCGATTTGCTGGTTCAGAAAATCTGGCAGCATTTAAGTGCTTGGTAAGAGGTTTTTATTTTTTCCCTTCAATCTCCATAGAGCTGTAACTTTTGTATCTATATTTAGTATGCGTTTCTTTTCTTTCCAGTACAAATATGCAACAGATTTCCTGAAGTGTTTGTCAGCACCGACAGCTTCAATAGTAAGTTCTTTCTAGTTTTCCCTCAGTGAAAAGGAGGCTTTGTGGTGTAGTGTACTTTGATCACCCTCACCAAAACCTTAATGGAAACAAAAACATCCCTTTTACTTTTCTGTATTACAGACCGTTTATAGAATGTGGCAGGGCTGTGAATCATTTTTGTTGAGGACTTTGCTGGTTCTCCGCTCTCCTTTCTGTGGAATGTGGTTTTCGAACTCTGGGGTAGAAAGCAGCGTATTAGACCCACCAGAAGTGTGCATTTGACCACAGAAGTGTAATAATGCCTTCCCTATTCTACTTGAAGACAGGTCACTATAATCTCGAAACATGCTTGAGCGTCTTGCTGCTGTCTCTCGCGATGGTGATGGCTGGCTCTGGAAACCTGAAAGTCCTTCAGCTTTGTCGTTTCATGCACAAGAAGACGGGCGGAGAGATGAACTATGGGTTCCACCTGGCTCACCACATGGCTTTGGGGCTTCTCTTCCTGGGGGGAGGAAGGTAATTTGCCATTCCCAAAGGCAGAATTTTTCTTCTTTCACCTCTCCTGCAAAAGCTGGAGCAATGTGCAATTTAACTGGGTTGGTTTTTGTTTTTTTTTTTTAATTTTTTAATAACATATGGATGCATAAAGATGTTTTCTATTGCAAAGGAAAGTTCTGTTGTTTTCTAGATACTGCATTACTTGAATGCCATAGGAATGTTTTTGGCTTGTGTTTATTTCCTACTGCTACATGTTTATTTTGACTGCTGTAGGAACACGTTTGTAAATTCCTTGCTTGTATGCACATTGCTACTGTCCTTCTCTTCCCTGGGACACCAAAATATTTTGAACACCTTTGCTAGTGGCCAGCCTTTATTAGCACTGAAACTAATAGATAATGTTTTTCTGCAGATACTCACTGAGCACTTCCAATTCTTCAATTGCTGCTCTCCTTTGTGCTCTGTACCCTCACTTCCCTGTTCACAGCACGGACAATCGGTAAGGGTTTGCTAGGGTTCGTATTTCCTTGAGCTAAATCATCTTACAAAAGAGGTTATCTAGAGGCAAATGATCTAGAATTTTTACCTGGGTACTCTGCAAATAATTTTTTTTTAGGTTTTCAAAAGAAAAAGGGAAGTGAAAAATAGAAGAAATAAATGAAGATATAGGATGATGGTAGTGATCTTTGATCAGTGAGGAAATGCAAGCAGGTTTCCTGAGGCTCTACGCTGTGTTCCTGTGGCTTGACTGTTCCAATTTGCTCAGCAGAAAATATTTTTTTTTTAATGCAAGATTTGTCTGTTTACGGCCCTTAATCAGTTTTAGCTATGATTCATGAAGTCCTGTTCTGTTAGCTGACACGTACGTGTTAAAGCAATATAAAACCTACTAAATTACTACAACTTTCTCTTTAGCTTAACCAACAGCTGTGTTTGGTTATTGAGCCGTGTGTAGTTTGGTATTTGGGGGGTTATTCCCTGCCTGCACTACACAGTGCTGAATTCCTTATTCCCGCGCACAGGTACCACCTTCAGGCTCTGCGTCACTTGTACGTGCTGGCGGCAGAACCAAGGCTCTTAACGCCCGTCGATGTGGATTCAAACACTCCTTGTTACGCGCTGATAGAGGTTACGTACAAGGTAATGTGTCTGGGCGGCAATAGGGAGCGAAGGCCTTTGAGAAGGTGTGGGAGACAGCTGAAGGCTCTGATATACCAAAGGCATGCTATTTTCATTGTTGTGGCCAGCAGCCTTGGGTTTGTTTTCAAGTTGTGGTAGAGACAAGCCAAATTCTACGCAAATAATTGAAGGGTTGCGCTCAGCCCACTCACACCTTGCATGTGCTTTGATGTCGCCTTGCGAGCGGAATACAGGACAAGTAACAGGCACCACAAAGTCTTCAAACAGTCAGGTGTGTGGTGGCTGACCCAGGGTCGTAGTTGTCCTCTTCCTGAAGAAGGCAGCCTTTCAAAGGCACAGAGGCGGTTGGAACCATCTCTGGTTTTAAAAGCCTTCTCCTAATTCTGCTGAAACAGGCAACTTAGTGTTTCTCCTGGGTGCTTGCATTAGAATCATAGAATCGTTTAGGTTGGAAAAGACCTTTAAGATGATCCAGTCCAACCATTAACCTAACACTGCCAAGTCCACCACTAAAGCAATTAAGGGTAGAGTAGTAATTTCATGTTTCCTGGCTTGGTGGCATTATGTGTCTTTTGGGGAAGGGTCCGTTCTGCGGGATTGATTTTTTTACAGGTTTAGGTGAGACAGGTGATGCTCATGAAAGGACTAAAGAAAGGGTTCTTGGGATTTCAGGGGAGAAGAGTTGCAGCATGGATCCCTTGGGGTTTTGGCAAAGAGTTCTGTATGTTCATAATACAGTTTACTTCTCAAATCTTCAGATTTCAGTTGAAGTGTGCCTGACTCACACAATGTTATGTGTTGATACATCCATGGGAAATATACCTTTAATTTAGGCTTTTGTTTCCTGACATTAAAGGCAATGCGAAGTCATGTATTTACTCAGAACTCAGGAACAGAAACTGACTGACTTCTGCCAATTGAGTTGTTATAAATGAGATGCACATTTTCTTTCTTTTTGCACAAAAATGAGCTTTACTAATATGTGAATACTGGGGGCATTTTGAAGGGCACGCAATGGTATGCAGAAGCCACCGAGGAACTGATGGCACCTACGCTTCTTCCAGAGCTTCACTTACTGAAGCAGGTAAAGGAAGTCTCCATTTTAATGAGGAATTTAATCACCCGGTTTGTGGCACAAACAGTGCATGAACAGAGACTTAGCGCCTTCTCTTTGATTCCCTGTCCAGCTTTAGCCAGACTCTGGACAACGCTGTCCCCTAGTAATGGCTCCGAAGATCAGTGTGTCACTATGGAGCACATGTTAAATTATGCCACATGCTTCTCTTTGGTCTTGATCATAACGCTTTCAAGATCCAATGTAACAGGGAGTTCCCTGTGCCAGAAAGCTTCACTGTAGGAGAGCCAAAGCCAGGTGCTCTTCCTGAGTTTTCAGGGTGGGGAGCACTATCAAAGGGCATGTGCCCTTTTAAGGGCCCAGAGAGACCTGTAGGCTTATGTAGAAAACTCTTAATTTTATGATTCTGGTTATATCTAGTAATAAAAATGCTTACATTGACAGATCAGAGTGAAGGGACCACGGTACTGGGAATTATTAATAGATTTAAGCAAGGGAACGAATCATCTAAAGTAAGTATTCTTTATAATGCCTAACTGAATAATGACCTTGTAGTAGTAGGGTTTTTTTTTTTTTAATTTTTTTTTAAAACCTCCTCTATTTGTAACACCTACGGTTTGGAAAGAAGTCTGGTTTTGATCGGTTCACTGTTGTGCATTTGACAGCACTTTAGGGTGAAGAAAGAAACTGCGTAGTTGGTTTCACCTGTTGATGTGAATAATTCATGCAAAAACAGGGCAGGGGAAAACCTGATAGTAAAAACCGCAGATATTGGCAGCGGGATTGAGCAGTACCAGAAACCATCTTAAACTCATGGTTTTAGTTCAGTTTTGAGTTGCTGTGATGTCATGTTTCCCAGACTGTTGATACAGTAGTTAGCTAACTGTTACTGCTTTGTGAAATACTATTTTTCTCATGTTACGTGAAGTATACAAAGTACTGCTTACTGCATTTTAACTCTCCGTTGGGCAACTGTGAAAAACAGAAATCTTACCGGAATACATAATCTGTGGGTAAAATCATTCTCATCTTCGTGCTTAGCAGCCTGCAGTGTAACTTGCTGCTGTGAGTAGTAGAGAAGCAGCCAGCTGCATCTTTCATCAGGAACACGGTTTTTCTAGTTACTTTAAATTGGGCGCTGCAATGCAGCATCTGTATTGGTCCGTGCCTTTAAAGATAACAACCGGGGGTGAGCGCAGCCTCCTCCGGATCAGGAGGCACGTACTGATTCATCTGCTGCACCAGAGCTGGCAGAAGCCGCCTTTGTCCTTCTGGGTTGAGCCTTTACCACACTTCGAGCACTTGTTTGTCCAAAAGAGCCTTCCTGTGCTGCTGCAGCAGAAACCAGCGTGGGTGACTGAGGAACTCGCTGCCTTTGGGACTTGCCCGTTCTCTGGGTCTCCAGATGCTTTGAATCTGTCAGCTCTCATGTCACACCACCTTGTCCCCAGCCCTTTAAAATGGTGGGGACCTGGCGGGCATTGTTCTGGAGATAAATGCACGTGTGAGAAATAATTTTCCCTATCTTACTACATGCAAGCTGCTGCTGTGTTGTTATGCTAAGCAGTTAGTTTCAATACAGATAATTTAGTTATTTTAAGGATGCCCAGTGCCTGCAGTTAATGGCACAACTGATACTCTAAATGAGGTAAACATGCAGCTGCTTTGCAGTAGTGTAACTTCAAACTGCTGCACGCTTCTATTTGTAGGCTTGGTCAGGAATAGCGGGGTTTTGTTGGTTGGTTGGGTTTTTTTCCCCTTACGTGGAGAAAGGACCATCACAGCACGCCTTTAAAGCTGTGGATGCCAATTTGCATGGTTTTCCTTGGTGCTGGGAGCTCATCCTTGAAGAGTCTAACAAGAACCTGCAATGGCTTCAGGAAGTTATATTCCTCATATCTGTAGGGCTCGCCCCTTTTTTTCACCGTTGCCTGCCATCACATCATGTGTGATAGCAGCCTGCCCTGAAGATACCAAGACTTACATATATGCAAGCGGGGCAGGGTTTAAATAATCAGGACAAAGCCTAAATGGGATTATTGCCCATATATGAGCTGCTGGAGTTCACATTTCCTTTACAGGTCCTCCTCATTATGTAGACGTATCAATTTAAAGTAAGCACGGGTGTTGTTATTTCAGATCAATTCTTTCCAAGGGTGGCGTCTTGTACGTGAAGCTGAGAGCTGGGCAGCTCTCCTACAAGGAGGACCCGATGGGCTGGCGCAGTCTCTTAGCACAGACTGTTACTCACCAGAACTCTGAAGCTCGGGCATTCAAGGTATCGCTCCCAAACTGGTTTCCTGCCAGAAATGCTGCCTCTAGAAAGGCTGAGGGAAGCACAGCAGGTTGTGCTGTGTTACTTATTTCCAGTACCTAGGTCTGCCACATGGTCATGAGTACTGAAGTTACTTGCTTTGCTTGAGGGAAAGGAAGTCTGGTGGCTTTCACAGGGCATGCAATGAGCTTGAGCTAAGAGCAGCTATGTGACTGTACGTTTGTCGTGGGCAGACAGAAGCGTTGGACATGTTTTGCCCATGATGTGCTTTATGTAGGTTACGATTTTCTCGCTCGTGTGCTGGGGAAGGAAGGGTTGGGTATAAATTACTGCTACGCTCGTGCAGTAAAACCAAACAGTTCACTTCAAGAGTGTGTTTTAATCTGTTTTTTAGCCAGAAGCAATTTCAGCTTTTACTTCTGATCCTGCTCTGTTTTCATTCGCTGATTATTTTTGCAAACCAACGGTGAACATGGGCCAGGTATGGTGCCTAGATGTGGATGAGCGTGGTTTCTTGCTTGCATGAATAAAAGGTGGGAAAATCCGATGTTAAACTGAGGAGCAGAATTCAGTCCTTCAAGTAGTGGGGAGAGGGAATATTCTAAGGGATGTTTTGTAATACAGAGGTGTAAACCAGTGTTGACCCTATAGTTTTTGTTGGGTTTGATTGTTTGTTTGTTTTCCCCACTGGTTACATCACAGTTGCTGCTAGTTGTCTACACCAGTTGTACTCATTGCAGAATGTGTTTAACAAATACTGAGAGCCCTGTTTGGTGTCCTGAAGCATTTAGGTGAAGTCAGTGCAGAAGGGTTAGGGTGTTTTGCACCGTATTTCTCTGCACAAGATAACTTGGGGGGGTGGGGGGGAGTAAAATATAGCCACATTATGCCTAGTTTTAGTAAGCCCAGGACGAAAGCAAGCTGTGTAGCGTTGTTAGCTATTGCTAATTTATGTAATGTCAGTGCATGGGTTAACTTTAATGGAAGGAAATGCGAGCAATGCAAGAACTGTAAATAAGTTGTATCTAGCATGTGTGCTTTGTTAAACATGTGTCTTTTATCAGAAACAGGAAATCCTGGATCTTTTCTCCTCAATTCTTTATGAGTGTGTTACCCAAGAAAATCCAGAGATGCTGCCCACATACATAGCAATAGATCAGGTGGAGTAAACACTTTTTTTCCCCCCCCCAAATCTTTTTTCTCCCCCCCCCCCTTTTTTTAAAGCTACGCTTTGGCATAAGAGTATTGTTCGTTACGTGTGATTTCTGTAGAAGACAGAAAGGAAGAAGGGGAGACGTATTATGGAGCTTACAGGGAGATAGCAGAGATTTTAAAAGCGAATTGGAAAATAATGAAAACTGAAGCTACACCAGAAACATTAGCCAGCAGTTTTTCTCAGTAGGTGCTCAGAAGGGCAGCCCGTGGCAAGGGGGAGTTTAGGATTCATTTACTGAATGTTTATGACGGCAACATTTCTTTCCTCCTCCAGTTCACATTCTCACAGTCACTTTGTATTTCCCTTCTGTTAGGCTGTGAGGAGATTAGAAAGAAGAGAGATGTCCGAGACATTTGAGCTGTGGCAGATAAAGCTGGTGTTAGAATTTTTCAGTTCCAGAAGTCACCAGGAGAGGATGAGCAGGAATCCAAACAGAGGACTCTTCATGAACTCTGAATTTCTGCCTGTGATGAAGTGCACTATTGATAACACTTTGGATCAGTGGCTTCAAGGTATAGAGAAGATAATTTTAATCCTGCAGGCATGATCGCAGTTCAGCGTTCTTGTCTTACCGATTTGGGTTGACTTTAGCCTCAAAAGTACTGAAAAAATGGTAACTGCAGGGAAGGCACTTGCATGTTAGCATAAACCAGCTTGTTTCAGTTTAGTGTGTTTGGTGTGAAACATTCACTGAAGAACTATGTTTGACTATATTGGTGGGAAGTTTAGTTAACGTGGAAGATCATGTTTCCCAGAGAAAATTCTTTCCTAATATTGCACCGGGAGAATTTTCTAGGAGCAAAAGCAAGGGGTGACCAGAGCAGAATGAAGAAGGCTCGCAAACAAACCCCTAACCCATCTCTGGGGAGATGGAGACTCTCTTTTCAGCGGGCTTTTTCTGTGGAAATACCATTGTCTTGCCTTTCTGTTTCGTCCCACAAATGCTCTCTAAATTTCATCAGAGGGTTTTGTGTATTGCAGCTGGAGGAGATGTCTCGCTGCATTCCTACCTAAGCGGGCAGCCCACGGAGGAATCGCAACTGAGCATGCTGGCTTGCTTCCTTATTTACCACTCTGTCCCGACGCCGGGGCAGCTGGCAGCTGGAGGCTTGGAAGGTAAGACTGGAGTGCAGGACACCACTCTGGACTTGCGCGGACGCACGCTCCCGGGTTTGGCCTTGCATACCGAAAGGAATATATCCTGCAAATTGTGTGACAGCCTGCATTTCCTCTGAAAGCTGTTCCATCGATTTTTATTCTTTGTTAATTGTCTCGAGTCTGGACAGAAAAGGTAGAAACTTTATGCAGGACTAAAGAAGCCAGAATTAGCCTATATAAAAAAAGTCTTAGCTTTTCCCTGACCTGCAGGTAACAATGTTCTCGCAGGCAGCAGGACCAGGTAAGATGGGCTGTGACGAGGAAGAGTGTTCTTTTTGTTGGGCTAACTGTGTCCCAAACATCCTTAAATATCTCTCCTCTAAGTACCTAGTCGGAGCGATCACCTGCTCTTCTAGGTTTCCAGCAGTAATCTGATTTGGGATCCAGGGAAATTCTGGGCCCTTTCACTAGGCAGCTTTTCTCTTGATGTTGTCAGCCCAACCTGGGGTTATACCAGTCCTCCTCTATTTGCCTAAGGTTTCTCCGGTTGCAAAAGAAATGCAGCTGGACTTCGATTTGGGGAACTCTGTGGCTTGCTTAGGGGTGTGACATGAATGTCACCACCTCAGCGGTGAGAGGAATCTCTTGCTGAAGGCTTTGCAGAGGCCACAGCCCCCGGCCCAGGCGTCCCGTGCAGGCGATGGCACCCTCAGCATACAGGCTTGGACATTTTCCAGCCAGGTGCCTGAGCATCTGCTCAGGTCAAAAGGGCTTTATGGAAATCCTGGGTTTTCGTGTCCTCTCTACCAGTTACATGCCTCTATTCTGGGATTTCCTGCCATGTTAATTGAATTTGGGATTTCTTCGAACTCTGTTTTATAAAAACTTACTTTTTAACCGGTGTTGCAACAAAACGAGCAGCAGTGAGCACATCTCCAGATGACTCTGGCTGACTCCCCTTCCTCTGTTGACAGTTCTTTTATTGGGCCAGTGTTACACCAAATACGTGCTCATCTTCTTTCTTTAATCTCTTTAGGAAGCACCAACTTCTCTGAGCTGCTTTTGAAGTTCAAGCAGTTGAATATGCCGGTTCGTGCGTTGCTAAGGCTGGCTCCTCTGTTGCTTAGAAATCCACAGTCCATGGTGCTGTAGGTCTGCGGCATTTGTTTTGCGTGCCATTACTGAATGGCAGAGCCAGCTGTGTGTTGTTTCACGCTTTTCAAAAACATACAGGTAAAATGTACTTGATTTTGTAACTTCTCAAACGACGTAAACTTCAAACCTGTCCCCGGATGCAGTGGCTATGACCAGGAGTTATTTATAAATTGTTACAATGAATTTAAAAAAAAAAAAAAAAATGTAAAAGCGAACTAATAATAAATTTACTTTTGTAACTAAAGATTGTTTACAAATATGTCTTTTATGGTGAATTCTGAAAAGACCTTGGCTGGGGACCATACAATTTGTTTGTTTGTATAACTTCTTTGCTTGCGACATATCTTCATCGGCTTCCACGAGGTACTGTAGATCTTGGGCGATAGGCAGCCCAGAAGATGCCAAACTTGCTTTTCCTCTTGGGTCTCAGGCTGGAAGGGAAAGCAAGCCACCTGCCATGCCGCTTGCACCGTGCCAAGTACGCTTTTCAAGAACTGGCATGATCTTTCAGTCTCATTCATGCAATACATTTTTTTTTTTTGGTCTCATAAAGGCTACTGTGTATCTCTTCCATAAGCATCCACACTCTGTAAGTATAAATTGCTCTGCTCAGTCTCATCCGTGACATACTACTGCACTGTTTACATCTTTTTTTTTTTTTTTTTCCCCCTTTTCTTTTCTAGTCTTTGTTCTGCAATTAGTCAGTGGCTGCTGAGAAAACACCTGCCTCCACTATGTTACGTTATGTCTGGGCAAGAACTGAAACTACTTACAGACAATTTAAATAATTGGGCATTCGTTTGTGTTTCCTTCATCTCTGCTACGATGCCGTATGTGTTTCCCCAGAGCACCGAGCTCGGAGCGTGGCTGGCTCCATATTTGTTCTGGGCAGGCCAGGCACTTAATTTTTCATAAAACAGGTGGAGTTACTCCAATAAAAGCAGCCAGAGGTTGAATGGTTGCTACTAGAAAAACAGCCAGAGCCAAGCTGTTGGACTCTGCTTATTCTGAAGTTTCAAATTCAATCTTACTCTGTGGGGACTTGTGCTGATCTTGCTCCCCTTTTTTTCCAAACCCTCAAGCAGGGGAGCCGAAGGGTTTTAGGGAGGGGACATAAGGATGGAGGAAGACAACTAGGAGTGATCATGAAGAAAGCGAAAGTAGAAAAATTGTACAAACCTTCTAAATGTTACTAAAAAGATGACATCTGACGTGTATTAACCAAGGTTTTCAGTGGTTTAAGATGTACTGAAGCAAGGACCTGAGTTGCAACTGTGTTCTTACATCTTACCTCCCTCCCCCTTTTTTTTAGGCTGTTAGGAAGTTGATCTAATTTCCTTGGGCACCCACAGAGGAAAGTCAGCGTTTTGTTTCAGGGGAGGTTAAGCCTTTAACCAACAGGACGGACAAAGAGCTCAAGGCAGCTGCTTTGCAGCTGTAGCTCGGCTGCCAGCCCCCTGAGCTGTCCCCTTTGTGGGTAGCGCGGCTTCCCGCCTTGGCGATGGGAAGTGAGCGGAGGGCGAGAGGAAATCAGATGTGTCCTGAGGGAAGTTCCTGCACGGAGCGCACAGGAGATGCCTCCATCCCGGGGGCAAGGGTCTGCACTGGAGATTTTTGGAAGGGAGAGGGAACACGCTGCGGTGCAGAGACAGCGGGGTTTAGTCTTTTAAAAAAAAAAAACAACAACTCAAAAATCGCCTCCTCCAGCGTACCTTCTTTATGCGAATTAAATAAACCCCTTAGCACAGAAGTGTGGCAGAAGTGGGGTTTTCCACGCAGAGCCATGAGGGCTGGCCGTGCGCTCCTGGCCGTTCCTTCCCCTGGGACAGCGGCTTGTGCCGGCTCGGGGGCATGCGTACCTCCTCCCTCGGTGCAGCTTGGGGAAGTTGCTTTCTTCCTTCTAAATTGGGGAAATGTGAAGCAGTAAGCGCTCGCTTGCCAAAAGCAATGAAACGGTGCTTTTTCCCCCAGCTCTCCACCCTGACTTTTCTGAGGATGAATGATTTTTAGCCCCTACCACAGACAGGGAAGGAATGGCACAGGTTTATCTCCGTTACTTTTTTTGCCCTGTGCCTGCTGTGGGGGGGAAGAGAAGAGCAGACAGCGCAAATGCTGGATATTGAGTGAAAAGCTGAGACCCCTGAACCCAAGGTGTGCTAATGCTCGTCACTCTCCTGCTAGATAAAAGAGGTTTTGTCCGACATTCGGAGGAGTTTTGGACAACGAGCCTGCGCCTGAGGCACGTGGTCAGAGGAGTTTTGGACAACGAGCCTGAGGCGCGTGGTCCGGGCTCCGTCGCGTGCCTGACGCTGCCCGGTGCCTCGGCAAGCTGGAAGATTCGCCGCGTTTGACTGCGAACGAAATGAAAAAGCAAAGCGGGCTTTCAGCGAGCCCCCTGCCAGGAGGTGCAAAGCGCAGCTTCTCCGGGGCCGGAGGAAGCATCTCCCCGCGCAGCCGGGGTTGGGATGCTCGGAGGTCC